GGCCAGCCTGGCCTACATAGTGAGTTCCAGGCCAGCTGGGGCTACAGGGAGACCCTGTCTCAAAAAGACCATAAAATAAATATAATTAAAAAAATATATATATAAATAAATAAATAAAAAAAGGTCAGGACCCCAGTTCTTTCCCACATTCACGAAGCAGTCTTTTCTTTCACTATGCCAGGCTAACAGTAAGAAAAGACTATCCCCAGGCCCAGAGAACATAGACAGGATGGGCCAGGCTCAATCAGTAATAGGAAGTCATCCCAGTAGCCATAGGAGCCTGGAGACCAGAGCCCTGAGCAAGAGCCTGCATTCTAACAGGCATGGTACTACTCCCTGTTCACTCTCACCTCCACAGGGAGGGACAGTAGTCAAAAGTTACCCTGTTTGCTTAGCCACCACTGCCGTCCTTACTGCATTTGCTTGTTTAATTCCTTGGTTGTTTGTTTTGGCTACAAAGTCATTATAGTCAATGAATCTTCACATATCCTGGTGCATAAAGTCTTCACTGAAAGATGCAAAACACCTAATGAATGTGAGTGACCAGGGAGAAGGACTGCACAAGATTTCTTTCTTACTCCTTTCTCCCAAGCAGACAGAAAAGAAAACAAAGATTTTGGGAGAGCTCTTTGCAAAGATAAGACAAACACACAACATGCGCACGCGCGCGCACACACACACACACACACACACACACACGGCATAGTTTGTTGCTAAATCACAATTGATTGGGAAAATAAAATCATCCTTCTCACACTGAAGCACGGAAATCCAGTTCTTTTTCTTTAAGACATCAGTTTCAAAAGGGTCCCTTCATCTCTAAGCTATCAAAGGTCAGTGCCTGGTTTAAAGAGCTTCTTGTCTTCAAAGTCAGTAGAAAATCAGCCCCCAGTTCATATGTGAGAAAAGAAAAAGAAGATCTTAACAGCATAATACTGAATTTTTTCTTACCAAAATGCCATCACAGCAATTAGAGTTATCACCAGTGTCTGGAAAACCCAGTTGGGACAAGATTGTTTTCTTCCTGAAAAAGAAACCTTATAGAAAGGTCCATGAATGAACAGTAACAAATTCATACAATAGCCATGAGAAGGAGGCCTGAGGGTCCACTCCAGCAGGACTCTTGCTGTCTCCCCTCAGGATGCTTCGGTTCCTTACTAGCCTTGGTTTACATCTCCCTCTCCTTTACTCTTGCTTCTCTGAAAACAACAATATCATTCAAACCTCCCTTTGCTTGATGTCAAGATTTCCTTTCCCTGGCATCCTGCAGAACGATTATCTGTACTACTCATTTGCCACTTGGTCTTCCAACTTTATGAAAGAAGACAGCCTATGACCTTGTCAGAGCCCAGATGTCCATCTTGTTATAGACTTTGGGAAATTCAAAGTTCTTCCAAATGTGAAGGAGTAAGTCCCTGTCAGAGCATGTCAGGCATTATGGAAAAATGTAGGAAAGACTTCTGTGGCATAAAAATCCTACCAAACACACCTTGATTGACTATCCCACTCTTCCACCTATTATAAGGCTCTGGGCCTGTGTCTTATTCTCCCATCCATTCAATGAATATTGCCTGTTAATGTACAATATTATCGAGCTTATGAACATTAGTAAGTTATGGTTTAGGAAGTGAATGAGATAGACTTTAGGACAGACACATGGCATCATAAAAACTGGTACAGACCAGAATTACAAATAGATGGTAGGGAGCTGTGGAACTGGTAGGAAATCTAACTGAAGAGGTTCTCTGCCCACTCTAAAAAAGAACTCCTTAAATTAGCTTCCTACTAATGTAATGGGGAAGATTATGTTTGCTTCCTTCTGAGAATGCGAAGTCAAATCATGCTTTCCCTGGTGTCCTGCAGAACAATTATCTGTACTATTCATTTGCCACTTGGTCTTCCAACTTTATGAAAGAAGACAAGGTATTACAAAATGGTAATGATTAAGAAGGAGCTTAAAATTGGCCTTTAGCTATTTCTTGGATTTGTTATCTGATTAAGGAAAATGGTCTTCAGTGTAAGAAGGGAGTGTTTAGTGATATATTTTTTAAAAAGCACACAGGCCCTGGGGCTACTAGAACCTAGTCATGCCTGAGTGCCACTGGAAGCCACCTGAATGTCTCAAAGTCCATGGTTGGCACCCACGTTTCCTATGTCTCATTAGAACTATTCTGAGGATGTTTGACTGCTGTACAGAGAAAGAACTCAATAGAATTTGTTTAATTGATTGGAATTAAAGCATTATTCATAGAATAAGTGCTTTCCCTTCAACCCACCCTCCATAGCTGCTGGATTTGAAAACATGAACAACAGTGAATGTGGATCCAGCACTTACTGGGTTCCCAGGCACTCTTCTGAGTGCTGTACAGACACTAATGTATAGAATCCTCATAATCATATAGAACTCTTTGAGGAAAATTCCATAATCATCCTCATTTTAGAGACAGGAATTTTTTTTTAAGGCCTTGGAAAGCTAAATTCCTCACCTAGGGCAAATAGCTAGTAGACCATGGAGCCAGAAGTTGAGTTTAAAAAGTTTGGCTCTGCAATCTATGGTCTTAAACACTATGCTATGTAACCCAATTGTTCTGTGTATAAAAAAGAAAACATTACAAAATTCAGATACTATCCAAAAGGTCTTTGTAGCTTATCAAATGAACTCCTTAGCTGGTGGTCCAGGACATCTGAGCCAAACCTCTCATTTTCAGCCTCCTCTTCGCTAATGCTCCCTAACAAAATCCCCCTGTTCCTTCAATGAAGCCCAGTCCAGATCCAACAATTCTGCTTATGCCATTCTATGAGAAACCTCTGCCCCAGCTCCATCGCTGCCTGTCTGCAGCAAACTCTGGGCCAGGCTCCCAGAATTCTTCTGCAGCACTCTGAGCCTCTGCAGCATTGCGAACATCAGGGCAACTTACTGTTCTTTGTGCCTTCTGTCTCTCTAGGCTGCCTTGAATTCCTTACATCACTTCTGACTCTTCCTTGCCTCCTACTGGCTTCTCACAGAGACTGCAAGAGTTGGAGGGTTAATGCTCATGTAAGTGCCAGATCCTGTCTACAGTACCCCCAGCTGGACTGGAACTCACTATGTAGACCAGACTGGTGTCCATCTCACAGAGATCTGCCTGTATCTACCTCCCTAGTGCTGGGATTAAAGGCATGCACTGCCGCACCCGACTTTCTTAATGCTTTTCATTTAAGTTGTGACCCTTTGTGAATATCCCCAGATGGTGCCCTCCATCTATGTATCCATTTGATGTCTTTTAGAATAGTTGAACACAGTGTAGTATGGAGAGGTGAGAATAAACTGGGCCAGTGCCTACCATGTGCTGGTCCCTGAGGATACCAAATAAGGAAGGCAGACACAAGGCCTGCTCTCATGGCCCATAGATTCCACCAGTAGTCCTGAGATAACTGCAAAAAAACCCCAGAATCTTTGGGTGTAAGATTGGACCTACAGAGGTTGCAGATGAGTAAACTATACTTTGGGACTGCCATGAACATGGACAGCATTCTTTCTACCCTACTGCAAGCTGGTTAGTACCCAGTGTATCTCTCCTACACCATGCTTCAGTGTGTTGACTGACACATGCTAGGCACTGTGCTAAGAACTTTAACACATTCAATCCTTAATACTTACAAAAGACTGCATTTCTATTTCCTGGCATGATTAAGCAATTCTCCCAGAACTTGTGTGTGTGTGCGCGCGCAGTGTATGTGTGTTTATTTGTACGCCAAGAAACCTGTCAACAATGTAATACTTTACTAGATTTTAGAATTTTGGACCATCTGTATATATATATATATATATCTTTTTAGAATGGTTGAACACGGCATAGCATGAGGAGTTGAGAATAAACAGAGACAGTTCAGACAGTGGCTGGGACCCTATGTCAGTTAAGGTCACACATTGGGAAGGGTCTTGCTTTGGATCAGTCATGGACCTGAGGGACAGTTTCACAGGTCTCGGTGAATTACCCCATAAAGAGATTGTTGCTGCTGCCTCCTCACTGACCCACTCATGTGATAGAGAGGGCATCCCTCTGGTAAATAAGCAAATTATTAGCTTTGATTTTTTACTGGAAATGTTATACTACTTGATGTAAGTTGTCTTCATTCATTTATTAATGAAGCCATCACATTTTAACCCTTTGAGCAAGTAAATATCAGTACCCACTTGTATATTCAGCATTAAGTATCAAAGAGAAAAAGGAATTTGCGGATTAATTGAAGTCTCTTAGGGATCTTCTGAAGCTAACAATAAAGGACTAAGTGAGGTCATGGGATGTGTATGGATCATACTGCCCACAGTTACAAACATGTGAAAGCTCTTCGATTTCATCAAATAGGGCCCATATAAATAATAGCTGGCAGGTTATTTCTGAAATGGTCATGCTCCTAATTCTTTTCCCTAACTTTTGTTATTTATAAAAATGGTTACTATTCATTAACACCTGAGCTGCAGAAGGATACAAACCAGGGAAATAGGTGGAAGGGGAGGTATTGTGTGTGTGCGTGTGTGTGTGTGTGTGTGTGTGTGTGTGTGTGTCCTCTACCGTGGATTGAAAACAGGGCCACTCATGAGCTAGGTAAGTGCTCTACCACTGAGTTATATCCAGTCAGATTTTTAATGTTTTTGTATTTTGAGACAGACTCTCACTAAGTTGCCTAGGCTAGCATTGAACTCATTTTATAGCCTAGGTAGACCTTCAACTTTCAATCTTCCTGCCTTGGTCCACCTACCCCAAGTAGCGGGATAACAGACCTACAACCATCAGGCTCAGCTAAGACTTGTTCTTTTGTATAGAAAATATCATCTCTGTTCATTTTAAATTTAAGGTATTTACCTTGTGTTTTTTTGAAATGGCCCTTCTTGGAGAAGATGTACTAACAGCTCTGCTAAATTTGCTTTAAAAAGAGAAAGAGAAAATTGATTACTATTCAAATGCCTCTCTCTAGGAGGTATATGACAAAGGCCCAGGCTGTCACAAACACAGCAGTTTACTTTCTTTTGTAATACAGTGATAATTTGGAAAAAGAAAAGTCAAAGCAACTGGGAGTTCTTTTTGTGGGAAAAAGACTGTAGTAAGCATAAATGAATGCATTAGCTTTTTTTTTTCCAGAACTAAACCCCAGGAAATGTGCATTTAGTTCCTTAAGTAATAAGGTCCCCCTGAAGACCAAACATAATTTTCTAAATTTAGAAATGACCACCTCTCCTCCTTAAAGGAGAAGTCATCTTTTTGTTTAAATTGAGCATATCCTATAACAGTTGCTATTAAACAGATGCATCATATTTTATTTTTAAAGCACCTAAAGAAAAATTAACAGAATTACCACACTAGGCAATGGTATCCTAACATTCTAAGAGAAGAACAGGGACCTCAGGATCAGAGTCATCAAGGCTGATTGATCCAGAAAGCCAGTTAGATTGCTCTGCCATGGAAGGAACCCACTCTTCCAGACTTTGTGGAGATGCTGAGCATACCTGATGGAACTTGCTTCACTGGCTGAGGATTTCCAACTACTACTGAGGTGCTTTAGCCTGGACAATTTTTTGTTCCATATTTCTAACTCTTCTATTCTTTCTTCAAGGTTGTTGGTTAGTTTGCACAGCTGCTTCACTGCCCCTACATTTTCCATGAAGATCTGGTCCTAAAAAAGGAGCATAATGCAAGCTGCATAAATGTATAGTTTGAAGCCACCAAGGAACTGTCCACAGCCTGTTCAAAGACAGTCAGAAGACATAATTGAAAACAGTTATATACCCATAACTTCAAGTTCACTCAAGATAAATCTGAAGTGCTTTGAAACTCGGAAGAGTTTTGTTTTTTTTTTTTTTAAACTATCTGCTGTGTTGTAAAACTACTTTTGTTCAATTTGCAATAAAATGGAAATATGTCCTTGTAACCCAAAAGAGGAGTTGGAGATGAAGGACATTGTAAAGTTTGAAGTCCAAAGATTTATTTTCAGTGGCATTTATGCTGTGTCTAAAACCCATTTTAAAAAGACCCAGAACAGGCTTCTGATTGCTGATTTGTGTGTTCACTGCTAAATCCCCTTAAGAAGCAATTGTAGTACTCCCTGGTAAATATGCACCAAATTTTTCAGGTGATGGAGGGATGCTTAGCCAGGTATGGAGAAATTTTTAATCCAGTACTCAGACAGCTAAGACAAGAGGATCATGAATTCCAGGCCAGCCTCAGCTACATATAAGAGATCCTGTTTAAAAAAAAAAAAAAAAAAAAAAAATTGGCTTATAGCAATATGCACAAGATCTGTGCAAATTCAAGCCAAACAAAAACCCAGAATGGATGGGGAGGTAGGCAAGAAGCCCCTGCCCTGCTGAGACTCTATTGGCATGTAATGGCTGCTAGGAGAAAGGGAGTCCGTTTTCTTTACCAGTGTGATACCTGGTAGGTTGTCCAGACTCCAAGGGACACAACCACATCCAAGAGCATTTTGGAGACACAGATTAGACTCAGACTCAATAGGCCTTTAAAAAAGAGACAGAGATAGGCTGGAGAGACGGCTCAGTGGTTTTAAGAGCAATGGCTGCTCTTGCGGAGGACCCAGCTTTGGTTCCCAGCACCCACATGGCAACTCACTTCTGTCCATAACTCCAGTTCTAGGGGATCTGATTCCCTCTTCTGACCTCCATGGGCATTGCGTGGCACGGGTGTACTTACATGAATGAAGGCAATACATGCATACACATAAAAGAAAAATTTTTTAAATTAGAAAAAGAGAAAGACAAATAACAATAAAAGACAAAGTTGGGGTGAGGAGCATTAAGGTAGGGTGGAGAGAAGGAAAGGGGTCTGCATATGATCAAAATATATTATACAAAATTCTTGAATCAATAGAAAAACAACACTATAAACACCCAAACTTTCCTCTGAGTCCTGCCACCAGGTAAAATGTAACAAGCTCTTTAGATGCCAGCTTCATCATTTATAAATGAGATAATTCTTAAGATATTAATTTCTACTTTAACATCTCCTGAGCTATCTTTTTTAATTCAAATTTTAGCCTAACTCTCAAAACAAAAATTTAAAAAGATAATTAATCCCTTTTGTTCAAAGAAAGTCATTATAACATCGGAAATAGGAGAAATCACTAAAGCCAGGAAGCCCAGGCCAGTTCCTCCCCTACCCACAGGGTTTGTCTGTAGTATGAACACGTGTCTACCTCAGCCAGAATAGAATGTTGGAAAAGCTGTCAGCTCACACCTTGACCCCCATGACCTTTCTTCCTTTTCCTCCCTCTTCTTAAAAGTCCAAAGCAATGTCTGTCTCACAGAGGGCAGCCCACTACTGTAAAGTGAAGAGCCCGGGAAGCCAGTGACTCAAGACTATTTGTGGCTGGAAGGTCAGACTTGGGCTGTGTTTTTGAGATTCTCATGCAAACTTTGAAGCTTTCAGGGTTTCAAGCCCTGGAGAAAAAAAAAAATCACTCAAAGAGCAATCAAAGTATGGTATATACATGTTGAAAATTTCTTAATGAAACCCGTTATTTTTTATAATTAAAGCTGCACATTACAGATCTAAGCTCGGTTTGTACAGTTTTAAAGACAGGTGTGCCTATTACATTCCCAGCAGCCGTGGAGCTCTAATGAAGCCCTCTGAACTTGTTGCTTGACTATTTGTATCAGGTGTTACCTGTCGGCTGTCTCTCTGCTCAAATGGTGAGTCTGTGGGGAGCAGGCATTATATTGATTCTTTGTTAAACAGTAAAAGATAGACAAGCAAATTGAGAGGTGCTGAGTTTGCAGCGTAGAAAAGGAGAAAGCTTTACTATTCGGGAAGCAAAATAATCTGAAGCCTGATTTCTGAAGCCTACGTTTAGAGAGAGGGTGGAGGGTGGAGGGTAGAGGGAGGAAAAGAGATGAGATGCCTGCATTCTAAAATTTATCAGAAAATGACTTTTCCTAAAGTCTTATTGGAGAGCCTTAAAAATCTATCTGAAAACCACAAAGTGATAAAAAAGTATAGAGCCGAATTTAGCGGTGTCTAGCAAAATTCCATGTTTTTGTTTTCAGAGCCAGTGGCTCTCATTTTGAGAAATCTCTTCCATAGACCATCCGATAGAATGGAAGATGGAAGAAAAAAACTTTGATCAAACCAAATATTTGTTTGATAATGGCACACAGCAGCACACTGCTTCAGGAAGGACTAAGGAGTGCCTTCCTCTGCTGGCGGTGGCGGCCCACGCCTTTAATCCCAGCACTCGGGAGGCAGAGGCAGGCGAATCTCTGTGAGTTCAAGGCCAGCCTGGTCTACATAGCGAGTTCCAGATCAGCTGGGGGCTACAGGGAGACCCTGTCTCAAAAATACCAAAAAAAAACAAGTGTCTTTCTGTACAGCAAAAATTATGACAGTATAAGAACTGTCAGGATGGCAGGATGATTTTTTTTTCTAAAAAAAAAAAAGGAAAAATACATAAACACACGTATTTTCTCATTAAAAAAATGGAGGCTGAATTAAATTTTTTTTTTAATTTACACTTAATGGGAAGGAAGAACCAAAGTAGGTAAACTGGATAAAGCCAGGCTATGGGAATGAACCTTTATATATGCACATACACCTTTAGGATGTGGGGGACATTTTACTCCGTGTTCTCTTGCACATTCAGACCCTTGCCTCTAATTGTTAACTTTGTGTATCCAGGTGGGAGGATATATAGGTAAGGCTAAACCAGGAAGAGGCCCTGGGACTGGAATCGTTCATTCTAAGGGAGTGGGATGGGGGTACAGGGGGTTGGGGGTTCTGGGGTGCAAGGGCACAGCAGGGAAAAGGCAGAGCGCTAAGGTGGGAGCAGAGGGTGGAGAATAATCAGCCCAAATGAAATTCAATGAAAACCCTGTATGGAAACCTATTACTTGTAAGGTAATAAAAAAAATGAAATACAATAAAATACAGAGAGACAAAAAGAAAAATGTGAATTTTTAAAAAATATAAAACAAAATTATACAAAAATAAAAGCACCTTATAAAGAAAAAGAAAAAACAAACGAGCCTGATGTGGAGTTGAGATTCTGCTTTAACCTTACAGAAGGATTTGTTTTAAATATGTCCTCAAGTCACAGTAACTTGACTATTCCTTGTGGAAAGATCTAAATACCAAAATAAATAAATGAATAAATAGCAAAGAAATCTTAACTAGCTGTTTTCAGTTGTTTAAAGCTCTTAGAATAAAATGCAATTAGAAATAACTTGACTATTCCTTGTGGAAAGATCTAAATACCAAAATAAATAAATGAATAAATAGCAAAGAAATCTTAACCTTTTAATAATCATGTTGATAACAACAGTAATGAACTATGTGCATAAATAAACCATACACAATTATCATTGGATGCAATAAATACATAATTATGTTAGAAATCCTGAGGTTTTAGCATGTAAGAAATATAAATATAAAATTAAAATATTAAGTAAAATCCTAGCAATTCTAAGTTTAAATGAAAGGTATCATTATGGATTATCAATGTATTCTATTTTATAAAAAGGAAAAATGTTTCCTAGCTATCTATACCCATGAAAAAAGACTATGACTGAGTAACAATGATCACCTTCTTCATGGTCCTTAAATACCACTGAAAGGAAGCAGGAATCTGGGAAGGGGCACCCCAGGCTTGGGACAGGCACAGTATGAAGCAAAAGCCTAAAATCCCCACTGTCTGCACAAAGCAGATGGCTGCCACAGAGGAGGGTGGGTGTGTCAAAGCAGCCAACAAGAAGGGCAAGACAGAACAGCAAAGGACTAAGTACTATAATGGACCAAGGAGTCAAATTGTTGGAAAAGCACCCAGAGTCTTATCCACTTCTTTTCTGAAAATTTGCAAATAAAGGAAGGAATGAAGCTTTTGCTGCCTCTGCTGCATATCAACTACACAGCTGATAAGGAAAAGCTCATTCAATAATTATTCCAGAAACTAGAGAAACAAGGACACTACTTCCCAGCCCCAAATAAAATAGTAGATGTAGTCAAAAATAATTCTCAATAGCTACCCAACCCTCATGGATATCTTTGCTCCTTTGTGTTACACATAGATACATAACTCACTCCTGAAATGTCAGCACCACTTAGATTTTATGATATTAATGAAGCATGGTAAATTTTTATGTATGATGGTATACTAGTTCCATTTTTAAGAAGTGGTCCTTCCTTTCAGAAAAATGTTGCTGGAGCTGGGGAGAGAGCTCAACAGGTAAAGTGTTTGGTAAACTAAGCTGGACCCAGAACCCATGTTTAAAAAGCCAGGTAGTCATGTTGGTATGCACTTCAATTTCAGAGCTAGTGAGGTAGAGACAGGCACTCCTTGGGACTCACTGGAAAGCCAGCTTAACCTAACAAGTGAGCCCCAGGCCAAAGAGAGACGCTGTTTCAAAAAACAAGATTACAATAAGATAATTTTATATTAAATTAAAAAAAATTTTATGTGTATGCGTGTATTGCCTACATGTAGGTAAGTGCACCCATGTTGTGCAATGCCCATGGAGGACAGAAAAGGCTGTTGGATTCCCTCGAACTGGAGTTACAGACAGTTGTTAGCTGCCATGTGGGTGCTGGGATTCGAACCCGGGTCTTCTGCAAGAACAGCCAGTGTTCTTAACCACTGAGCCATCTCTCTAGGCCCTTATATTAAAAAAA